ATTTATTATGGCTCAACTTTTCAATACATTATCACCTGTATTGTCCCACTTCATTGCTGAGTGAAATAAAAATTCTAGGTTTATTAATTTTTCTAAGTGAAAAATGAGTGAGAAATGGTATCCTGAGATTATGCAAAAGTTAATGCACAGAGCATATATAATTAGTATTAATAATACCTAGTGTGATACTTTAGTTTTCAAAGCGTTTTCCCATACAATACAACTCATTTTTATTTCCTCTGACTCAATAAGGTAGGAGGGCAAGTATTTCTCACTCTCAGAAGAAACTGAGAACCAGAACTAAAATGTAATAGATGTGATTCTAACAAACCTTGCTAACTTTCTAATTGGTAAAGAATTAAACAATGGAACACATAACATCAGAACAATAATGAAAATAATTTACTCCCTTTGGATAACTCAGGACTCATCCTAGAATTGTATGTAAAATTATGTCTGTAAGTTAGGGTTTTCAGTATAAACATGCAGAGAACATGATTAATAGAGCTGTCTCACTAAGCCACGTCCATTTCTACTATAGCACGCTTTTACAATTCTGGAATTTTATCCCTTTTAGGAAGTTATGAATTACCCATATGGTCTGAAATCTAGAACTTATATCAAAGTAAGTTAAGCTTACTTTGTCCTTTATGTCTACAGGCCATATCTGAGCTCTGTGCTTCCTTAACTATGAAACAGGAATACACACACACACACACACACACACACACACACACACACTCACTCTCCCTCTGTCTCTGTCTCTCTCTGGAGGGTGAAGATTAAATGAAATACCCCTGAAAAATAATTAGTGTGCCTTCCAACATATAGTAGCTATATAATTGAAATATAGGAGAAAAAAAGTTGCTGACATCTTCACTCAAACATAAAGAAAATAATTTTCAGACAAAACAAAGCAGAAACATCAAGTTGCATTAAAAATTTTTAAGTTTAATATGAAATTAGTTTTCTGTGTTTCTATGGTTATAAAAGTAATTCATGCTTTATTAGGCAAAGAAAATGAAAATCACCTATAATGCCACCACACAACACTCAAAGTCATGATAATTTGTCTAAGGTTTTACAGATGCACACAGGCAAATTTTATGTGCATGCTTTAGGCAAATGAGACAGATGAAATCAATTCTGTTTTTCCTGAAATAAAAGAAAATCTAGTCCCCAAAAAGAAACAAAAATAAAGCCCTAAGTACCTCAAATTAGATTATGAAAAATGCTATTTTACAACCAGTTTTTAACTTAATATACCATAAAGTATTTCACTGCAGTAGAGAGCAAATCATTATTCTTTATCTCTAATATTTCACTAAGTAGTAAACTTCTACTCTTTTGAGCCTAAACTGCTCCTCTCTTCATGCATATCCAAAACACTGAAACACCACTACTCCGATTTATTCAATCACGTTGTTCTCAGATTTTTCTCTTATATAATGAACACACATCTTTGCTCACCCAGAGGGCATATTATGCAATTTTAAATTCTGATATGTGCTGCAGTCTGCTCTCTGGAACAACTGTCCCAATGTACATTCCTACTCCTAGTGTATCAAAGTGCTTGTACTCCCATCCCTTGCCTATCTAAGGTTTGAAATAAAATCCTGCTTTCACTACCATTAGTAAAGAAAAGCTTTAGGATCAATAAGGGGAAAAAAAGATATTTGATTCACATTAAGAAATGTCTGAGGAACAAAATAAAACATTTTTTTTTTTCTTAATGGCTGAGGGTAGAAAAACCCAGGATCCAAATACTCATATTCAACTGGGAACTGATTTTCATCATCTTGCTTACTCTTCCTCACCATTCTTTTGTTTGTATATCTGTTTTTTTTTTCAAAGATTTATTTATTTATGCATACAAGAACTGGGGTACAGGCCAGAGGTGTGTGGGATGAGAGGATTCTCCAGAGACAGAGTGGGGAACAGAACAGGCAGACTGACTGAAATACACTGCTGAGGGGAGCAGTGGGCGAGACAGGAGAGGTCCGTTGCGCCATGTGGGTATCTCCCTGTCCGGGGATCGAATTCATGCTGCAGTGGCTGCAGACTGCTTCATAGTGCTGTGACTTAACCCCTTATACCACCAGGGAGGCCCTTTTTTTTTTAAATACATATATTTTTTAATTTATAAAATAGCTGGGGTACAGGCCAGAGGTGCAAGAGGGTTAGAGGATTCACCAGAGAGAGAGCAGGGAACAGAACAGGCAGACTGAGAGAAAGCACTGCTGAGGGGCCCAGCAGGCGCTACAGGAGAGGCCTGCCGCACCATGTGGGAATCTCCCTGGCCAGCGGGGAATCGAACCTGCACTGCAGAGGCTGCGGACAGCTTCACAGTGCTGTGCTCAACTCGTTGCGCCACCAAAGAGGCCCTGTTTATATATTTGTAAAATGCTGTATTACTTCCAACCAAGTTAGCGGTTCCGACTTGGGTAAACAAGAAAAGTGCCACCTCCAGGACAGCAGCATCAATATCTGCACCAAGTAGACACCCACTCAGGAGACTTACAATCCAGTTACCCACTAACTACATTCATATTTGCTCTGACCCTTAGGTCATTTACTGACCAGATAATGACTGAATATTATTTAGATGACCGTTAGTATTTCAGGTTCTGGGCAGTTGTAATAGACAGCAATGAAAAGTAGAAACTAAGTCCCTCATATCTACCCAAAGGACACAAAAACATTAATTCCAGAAGGACACCTGCACCTCAATGTTTATTACAGCACTATTTACAATAGGTAAGCTATGGAAACAACCCAAATGCCCCAAAATAGATGACTGGATCAAGAAGATGTGTACATATAACAATGGAATATTACTCAGCAATCAAAAAAGATGAACTCATGCCATTTGCAGCAACATGGATGGAGCTGGAAGGGATCATGCTCAGTGAAATAGCCAGAAAGAAAAAGAAAAATACTGGATGGTCTCACTTACAGCAGGAATATAAATGATCCAAATAAGGGATCAAGGAAAAAAAAAACTATAATAAAGTAAAAATCAAAATCAACAGGCAACTATAAATCAGAAACATACTACGGGGAGAGAGGGAGTGAAGAAGGGAGTAGGATCAAAACAAGGGTGGGAAGAGTACAAGGGACCATGGTGACAGTTCAAGGGTGAATGGGTGGTGGGAATTTTACAGAGACTATAACCAAGATGAAAATGCATAACTGTAAAAAAAGAAAAATGTAAAAAATATATAAACTATTAAAAATAAATAAATTTATGAGAGAAAGAAAGAAACTAAGTCCCTCAAATTCTGGCTAAAAAAGACAGACCACAAACAAATACAAATGTTCATAAAATAATTTTAGGTCTTACAATTTAATGTCTTACAAAAGAATTAAAACAAGGGCTGTGCTAGGCAGTGACTTGGTGAGAAAGGTGCAGTAGGTGGGATAATCAAGAAAGACTTGCTTCTGGAGGTGATGTCTGAGCTACACTTTGAATAAGATAAGGTCACTCCATGCAATGATCTGGGAGAACAATGTTCCAGGCAGAGGGAATAGTAGAAACCATGTTTGGTTAAAAGAAAGAAGGCTGTGTAGCCACAGCATAGTCACTGAGGAAAATAAGAAATGTGGTTGGACAAGACTAGATTATATAGCGCCTCAGAGGCTGTGGCAGTCTGAATTTGGTTCAAGAAGAGTGGAAAGTCATTAAAGGACTTAAATAAGGCAGTGAAATATGACCTGATGTAAATTTTTCAAAAATCTCTGGTGTCTATGTGGAGTATGGACTGCAGCAGAACAAGAATGGCAGTTAGGAGATCAATACAACCGATCAATTGAAATAATCTACAGGAGAGATGCGAAAGGCTTGGGTTGGGGTGGTGATGAGAACTGAACTTGGTCAGGTTCAGGGTACACTTCAGAGGTGAACTATCATGGCTCGTAATGAAACAGACCAGCTGGTTGGGGAATGAGAGCGAAACAGGGAAATCAAAGATTACTCCTATCCTGGGACTTTAGCAAGCAGAGCAAGGCAAGCAAAAAGTCTGCTTTTGACAAGTAAGGTACTGGCCATGTAGCAATGGTACAGGCTGGGGTGTAAACCGCATAGAGGGGTATAAAGCCTACAGGGCAGTATGAGACCATTTGAAGAGAAACATAGAGGACTAAGGTCCAGGGCATGCCAATACTGAGTGAGAAGAAGAAATGGAGTCAGCAAAAGAGCTGGGAGGAAGGACCCTGTGCAGCTGGAAGTTATTCGGGAGAGTACAGTGTCACAGAAATGGAAAGAAGTGTTTTAAGAAAGAAGAAATAATCAAGGAGGTTAAATGTTCCCTGAAGACTGAATAAAAAAAAAAAAAGAAGACTCACAACTGAAGTAGCAAAAGTAGCATGATATAAGTATAAGAAGTGGGAAATGTTATAAAAAAAGGCATTTGATCTTGATCAAGTTATTACCTTAAAGCTCAAAAAATATAAAAGGAACAGTTTCAGCAAAATTCCTGCAGTTTGCTGACTTGATAGGTTATGTTCATTTTTGCTTCCCTTCTCAAAGGAAGATGAAGGAAGCAGTGACTCAGGAGGGTGTCCTTCCGAGTTTTACATTCTTATTCCCTGAGGAGGAGAGTCTTACTTGGCAATAGTGTGATGCTATTCAGAACCTACATGAAAAGAGGATCAGCTCAGCCTAAGAGACTAAAAGCATGTCCCACTTGATTGTGATTCAAAGTCTTCACAGTCTCCTGCCCAAATCAACTCTAAGCTAAAAGCTTCCTTATCTAACCCAAGGACCCGAATTAAAGGAAAATGCCACCAACAGAGAGAAGCGCCCAATCCATGCCCTTGGCTGAAAGCATTCTTCTAGCACATCATTGTCTTTTCCAGGGCTGCTACAGTTTCACTACCAGACTCCAGCCTTGTCTCACTCTGGTGGTGCCACTGAGGACAAAACTAAGAAAAATGATCTGAGGCCTGCTCATACATGTGCCACTTGACTCTGTGTCTCCTCCTAATTTCCCGCCCCTTACCTGGGTCATTTTGTCCACAGAGACTGGAATTCCATCGATGGTGAGAGGCGGTAGCTCCGAGTTAACCTCTTGTGGCACAGGGGCGTGTTCTGCCAGGGCTGACTCCAGGTCTTCCAGGATCATGCTCTTGTACTTACGCACCTGCAGGGAATTAAGGGAGAAGTAAACAAGATGCCCAACAACCAGGGAGGGTTAGTGCCAAGCAACCAGAGAGTGGGCGGGGCTGGCCTCCCTCAGTCAGCGCAGAGCCCTAAGAACAAACAATTCTATCGCTAGCAGATAAAAATACCCGCTGGCCCTGAAGACATCACACTGCATAGAATTAAATGAAAAGATGATGAAATTACAGGTAACAGCAGTAGAAAGGAGCCAGCATAAAAAGTTCTATAGAAACATTGCTTTCATCGTTAAAATCATGTTTTCTCAGACAATGCTGGCCTCATCTCCTGTTCCCGATTTAACAGGAAAGACATTTATTATTATGCATTTCCTAGGTTCTCTGATACACACCTAGCTGTGGTAGTTATTGTCAAAACCATTTCAAGGGTCAGCAGGGACTCTGTCCTTAAAATTTTAAGCAACTTTGAAATGGCTGCTACTTTCCTGCAAAGCCAGGCACCCAAACAGACAGAAGATTCAAGTGCACAGAGGCTATACTGAAAGGCATCAGAGACAAAAACGAGAGGTGTATACTATAGTGCACTGTCATCATCAGTAAGGCCCAGAGCCAGAGTGAGTCCTACACCAAGTCCTCCTCCCTTCTGCTTCGCTGACGACAGAGGTAAACTTCAGACCCATGATGCCTCCCCAGCTGTGTCAAGCCCAGGTTTGTTCCAGGTATTGTTCTAACTCTCTTCCTCTACCAGGGGAAGGGCTCGCAAAGAAGTTAACAGCAGCACATTTGTACATGCACACATTCTTTTATCATGAGCAGAAACGGTAGACAGACACTGGATCCTGCAACCTCCAATAATGGGTTCATTCATGTGAAGAATGCACAAGGGAGATGTGGATACCTCTGGGAATAACAGAGAAGCAATGGAGTTAAGGAGATGTGACAAGATGGGATAGGAAGTGGACTTGCTTTCACGGTTCAAGCCCTTATCTTAGGGGAAAGGAGGAGAGAAAATAAAGTTTGTCCAGAAGTTACAATATCGAGGTATTCTAAAATCTCGGTCTACAAAATCTAGGTATTCTGCTAAGTGGACTAGACTCTCAATCAGGATATAGTTCCTCATCTGTATATCTCATTATGAGGATTAAAAAGGAGAGATTCCCGCACTCCACTCCAAGCATGTGGAAATGTAAAAAGAATGTTGACTTTGTAGTACTACACCTTTGCAGTGAATGACTACTCCAAAAAGGTCAACAAGGAAGGGGATGAAAGAAAAATACTGCAACTTGTTGAATCCTCTCTAGAGTTCTAGCTTTATCCTGGTTTCTAATGAAATTAAGTAATTTCAAAAATTATTGGCATTATATTTATTGTAACATATGTTGCCATGGCAACTTTACAGAGTTATATTTTCTGTTTTGTAGGTTTCTGTATCTTATATAGAATTATATTACCAACCTATAGAAACTTGACTTTTATAAGCCTAGGGGCTGGTGTTTGAACTTTATATGAGGGTTAAATCATTATATTAGTATATAGGCCCACAGAAAGTAAATGATAAAGGTATAAGTATTAATTTCATTGTGCTGGAAACACCTGGCACCCAAAGGTGGGATGTCATTAGGTTACTGCTATATTATACTAGCTAGTTTCAAACAATTGCAATCATTTTTACAGATCAGTAAAGTCACAGGCATTCACAACCAGGCATTCTGCTAAATGTATTCATGCTATGTAATGTCTTAAAAATATCCTGAATTTCAAGAAATGCTGGTAGAGCATCCCCCAGAATAATTTATAACAAAACATCTTCAGGGATGACTATAGCATGGCTTTGTAAATTTAAGAAATTTGTGAGAATTACACAGCAGATGTCCCAATTCCATCTGGCCTTTCAATTAGGAGATGCCTATGTGCTCACATTTATCAAGTCTCTGAAATTGGGGCTTACCTTAAAATTGCTGTGGACTAGGTTGTATGGGATATAGTTGTACTACCTGCACACATGTGACCATGGCTGTTTTCCCTGGGGACATGACTGCAACTCCTCAACTTTTCAGTCAACAAACCATTTAGAATCATTTAAGAAAGGAATGTGAGTCTTGGTGGTGGTTTGATAACCTTCCCGGTAATATTTCTGATAAAATGAAGAAACACTAACTGCTTGGAAAACTGTCTCAGACACATGGCAGAGCACTTTTTAAAGCAATGTAGCATCATCCATGTTTCTGATGACACAAAGGTTAATATTATATGAAACCACAATGATTCTGAAATGAGAATTCAAAAGTGTTGGATTCTGAATGCGAAGAAGTTTTATAGATATCAAATTATTTCATGTACACGTCCCCTTTTTTGTTATACAAAAGCAGTATGATCAAACAACTCTTTTAATAATTATAAAAGAAACTTTTAAGTGACAGAATTATGTCAGTTTGTCAATTTTTTTTCTTTCTTCATGGTACAAAAATAATGGTGCATCTTTAAATTAATGGTTTCATAAATAGGATGGAACACAATAAGTTGTTTGTCAACTTTTACCTTCTAGTCCAGAAACCACAGCTTAAATCTTTGACACTTCAAATCAATATCACTGTCAGTTAACTGGTTTCACAAAGTTAAAAATTACCTAGAGATAAAATCAGCTGCAAAAGGCTACCACTCTTTTCCCCTAATTCATCCTATATACCACTGCCATTTAGTTTCTGAAACAGGGCCTCCCTCGGTGGTGCAGTGGTTGAACGCTGGGCTACGAAGCTGCCTGCAGCCTCTGCAGCACCGATTCGATCCCCGGTCACCAGCGAGGGTTCCACATGGCGCTTTCCTGTCTCGCCCGCTGCTCCCCTCAGCAGTGTATTTTGTCAGTCTGTCTGTTCTGTTCCGCGCTCTGACTCGGGTGAATTCTCTCACCCTCCTGCACTTCTGACTGTACCCAGTGCTTGTATAAATAAATAAATAAATCTTTAAAATAAATAAATAAAGTTTCTGAAACAGGGCCTCCCTGGTGGTGCAAGAGGTTAAGTCTCAGCACTATGAAGATATCGGCAGCCACTGCAGCACAAGTTCGATCCCCAGCCAGTGAGCTGACCCATGTGGTGCAGACCTCTCCTAGACATCTCCTGTCTCACCCGCTGCTCCCCTCAGAGTGTATTTCAATGACTTTTTATTTATTTATTCATTCATTCATTCATTCATTCATTCATTCATTCATTCATTCAAGCACTGGGTACAGTCAGAAGCGCGGGAGGGTGAGAGAATTCACCAGAGCCAGAGCAGCGAGCAGAGCAGGCAGCAGGACCGAAGTACACTGCTGAGGGGAGCAGCAGGCAGCAGGAGAGGTCTGCGCACTATGTGGGACCCTCCTCTGGTGGCCGGGAGCAGCCGGGGATCGAACCGGCACTGCAGAGGCTGCGGGCAGCTTCGCAAACCAGCACTCAACCGCTGCGCCACCGGGGAGGCCCTCAGAGTGTATTTCAGTAGATACACCTGTTCTGCTTCCTACTCTGTCTCTGGTGCATCATACCCTCCCCCCACACACACACCTCTGGCCTGCACCCCAGCTCTTGTATGCATAAACAAATCTTTTAAAAAAATAAAATTTCTGAAACACTTATTATAACCAAATACCATTTACTAAGCATTTACTATGTCTTACTACATACTTATTGAATTAATCTTTATATAATTATATAAGGAAAATAATACTATGCCTATTTTGTAGATAAAATAAAAAACTGAGGGCTTAATGAACTTACATAATTTCCCCAAATCGTAGTTAGTGTGTGTATCATTACAGCTAGAAACCAAATTAATTTTGATCTAGTTTTAAAACTCATCTTCACCCACTTCACTGTCATTGTCCTTTTTTCCACGGAAGTACTCCTATAATTCCCCACCTCTTAGAGGATGAAATAGAAGTTGCTCAGTCCAGCATTTCCACCTTTCCAGTCACTCTCTACTATTCTAGGCCCACCGGGTGCAATTACGCCTGCCTGGTCTACGGACTAGTGCACTGTGGACTGTGGACTCTATGGCACCCTCTTGAGTTCCCAGTGTGCAATGCATGAAGTCCTACTGGGCAACTTGGTTCATCTTCCTCCTTCTTTAGCTGGTCAGTCTCCCTGCTAATTTTTACAACTAGCAAGTTCTTTTCCATATGCAGATCTTTAATTCCACTTATCTAAATACATTATCCAATTCTCAAGGTCCAAATCAATTTCCACTTCCTCTAAGAAAACTTCCCAAGTATTCTTGACATAACTTGCTTCCTCTTCTAAACTCCTACATGTTCAAATAATCTTGTGTCATTTATATTGCTAATTTCAGGTTACACAGCACACAACTAGCGAATGACATGGCTGAGCACAGGGACCAGGACTTCTGTTTATTTTTTGTTGATATAAATGATATTTCACATATTGAGATACACTAACAAATGACCCACTAACAAACATTCTCACAGTGTCCAAGACAGAGAGTGTCAAGGAGGGTTACAGGAGTCACTGGAGTTCTGGGCACAGATGTGATTGCTGAGGATTTAAGAATTGGCTGCTGCAACCACAATGTCAATGGTTCTTTAGTTGGGTTGCAAAAAAAGTGTCAGGCATGATACCATATTTCTTTGTAATCTCAACAATTTTCTTAATGCAAGAGGCCCCATAAAATTTTTTTTTCACTTTTTTGTTTTAGGTACAGGCTTCTCTGAGATTAAAAATAAACTGTTATCTAAGGCATATCACAAAAACATGCTCTACAGCTTCCCTCAGACGTCTGATCCTGAAACACAACTGGCATAGAGCTAGGACGCAGCCCCTGGTCATGAAGTTATGCTGGTTTCATCTCATTAGTCTAGCCTTCTTTTCTCTCCTGTCTCAGTTCAGATCTCAAGTTTTCTTTTTTTTTTTTTTTAATTTATTTATTTATGCAAGCACTGGGGTACAGGCCAGAGGTGTGAGAGGGTGAGAGGATTCACCAGAGACAGACCAGGGAGCAGAACAGGCAGAAAGACCAAAGCACACTGCTGAGGGGAGCAGAGGGCGTGACAGGAGAGGTCTGCCTCGCCATGTGGGAATCTCCCTGGCCAGCGGGGAATCTAACTGGCACTGCAGAGGCTGTGGACAGCTTCACGACGCTGTGCTCAACCCACTGCATCACCAGGGGGAGGCCCCAGATCTCAAGTTTTTCCCTTGCCCTCTAAGTCTCTAGTTTTCAACCTTGTAACACCAATAGATTTAGATGGAGTTCTTATCACATACTTTGTATCTAATAATGTTAAATAGTTATTTGTTGAATAAGTAAATCAGCAATATGGCTTTTATTGCTATTTATGCTTCCTTTTTTTTTTTTTAAGATTTATTTATTTATTTATACAAGCACAGGGTACAGTCAGAGGCGCGGGAGGGTGAGAGAATTCACCAGAGCCAGAGCGGAGATTAGAACAGGCAGAGTGACGAAGTACACTGCTGAGGGGAGCAGTGGGCGGCAGGAGAGGTCTGCGCGCCATGTGGGACCCTCACCCTGCGGCCGGGGAACGAACCAGTGCTGCAGAGGCTGCGGGCAGCTTCACAACCCAGAGCTCAACCGCTGCGCCACCGGGGAGGCCCTATGCTTCCACTTTTATATAACTTGAGACCATTTTAAAAAAAACTATGATATGTAAATAAGTGAATGACTTATTCCACTTAACTACTAGGAAGGTGAAACTAAGCAAAAGCAGGATGATTTCAAAGAAGCTGGTGATAAGCCCAGAGCTATCTCTTGCTTCTGTGACTGGCTAATTTCTATTACCTGTAGAACTTGCTTGTCATGTCCAGTGCATCCCACCTAAAATGCCTTGGATTACTGACTCTAAGGAAAGAGTTCCATCTTTAGAGAAAAATGGAAGTATTACATCCAGACTTAAAACTATACTATAAAGCCATAATAATAAAAACAGCCTGTTACTAGAACAAAAACAGATACACAGACGAATGAAATTGAATTGAAAGTCCAGAAATAAAACCACACATATATGGTCAACTAATCTATGAAAAAGGAGTAAATAATAGACACTGGAATAAGGATAGCTTCTTCAAAAAATGGTGCTGAGAAATATGGTAAATCACATGCAAAAGAATGAAACTAGATTAATATCTCACACCATAAACAAAAACCAACTCAAAATGCATAAAAGACTTGAATGTAAGACCTGAAACCATAAAATATATAGAAGAAAACATAGGCAAAACACCCCATTATAAACACCTCAGAAACATCTTTGAGAACTTATCTCCAGAAGCAAGGAAAACAAAGAAGATAAATAGCCAGGACTATATTAAACTAAATGCTCTATACAAAGAAAAGAGAGTAACCCAAACAAAGAAACATCCTACTAAACAGGAGAAAATATTTGCACACCAAACAACTGATAAGGGCAGAAAAATGGGCAGAACTAAAAAGACAGTTCTCCAAATAAGAGAAGCAAATGGCCAACAGACGTATGAAAAAAATGTTTAACATCACTTATTATTAGGGAAATGCAAATCAAAACCATAATGAAACACAACCTCACACCTGTGAGAATAGCCCATATTAAAAAAAACTCCCAGAAACAACAAATCCTGGCAAAGATGTGGAGAAAAAGCAATCCTCTTACACTGCCAGTGGGAATGTAAACTAGTTCAGCCACTATGGAAAGCTGTGTGGAGGTTCCTCAAGACTAAAAATGGAGCTACCACATGATCCAGTGATTCTGCTACTAGGAATCTACCCAAAGAACACAAAAACACTAATTTGAGGGCCTCCCCGGTGGTGCAGCAGGTTGAGCGCTGTGCTGTGAAGCTATCCGCAGCCTCTGCAGCACGGGTTCGATTCCTGGCCAGCCAAGAGAAACTCACATGGCGCAGATTTCTCTTGCCTTACCTGCTGCTCCCCTCAGCAGTGTCTTCAGTTCGTCTGCCTGTTCTGCTCCCCACTCTGTCTCTGGTGAATTCTCTCACCCTCCCACGCCTCTGACTGTATCCCAGTTCTTGTATAAATAAATAAAAAAACCCCACTAATTCGAAAGGAAACCTGCAGCACTATGATTATTGCAGCACTATTTACAATAGCTAAGATATGGAAACAACCTAAATGCCCCAAAACAGATGACTAGATCAAGAAGATGAGTTATAGATACATAATGGACTACTATTCAGAGATCAAACATTTGCAGCAACATGGATGGAGCTGGAAAGGATTACACTAAGTGGGTAAGTCAGAAGGAAAAAGATAAATATTGAATGGGGGAATATAGGGAAACAAAACAAAGAGTCAAGAAAAGACAAAACTTGCAAACGACCACAGATATAAAGCATCCACCAGGGGAGGGAAAGGAAAAGGGATAAAAGCAGGGGAGGGAAGATCATAAGGGACCATGGAGATGGTTCATGGGTGTTACGGTGGTGGAAGAACCTTGGGGACTACGCTGAAGGGAAAAATCAAATACTATACAAAAATTAACAACAATGTAAGAAAATAAATAAATAAATCTATTTTTAAAAAAGAAAGAAATGTATCTTCTGGGGGAAAAAGGTTTCACCTTCAGAAACCCCTAGGATTCTTCCGAAAAAAGATGCAAATTCGCCCTCTGTCCCTCAACAAAACATTTCTAGGCCTATTCCTACAAACTTCATAAAGTCTATGATAGGGCAATAAGCCACTAAGAGAACATTCGCAGGGCACAGCAACCTTACCATGTCCCATTTGCCAGTGTTTTTCATGCCAGCTCTCCCTAAACATTATACAACGTGATGATAATCAACTTTAGTTAATTTCTACTAGTCCCCAATGAAGTAGGTATTATCCTTACTTTACCCATGAGGACCCTGAGTGATAGAAAAAATCAATGAGGGGAACCACTCAAAAATTAAAGCTTAAAAACAGTTTTCACAAAAGTGAAGTTTGGGGTTATATATGCCCATTCTAGTTAACCCAATGCCATGGGCAGCATTGCATCAGCCTCTCTAAATGCTTTAACTCTATGCTTTACCACAAGAGTAGCACCTTCACTAAGAATGATACTCAAAAGGACCAAAACACCCTGTGGGGTTGTTCTGGAGGTCTTTTAATTTGCTTTGTCATAAAGAGCAGAGGTTTTAAACTACAGAGAACACTAGCTATGCGGGTAGTAAGTCCCAAGCAACTTAGAGAGGAGTGTAATTACTGGGTCATACGGCAGATGCATTTTTAGTCTTTTGAGAAACCTCCACACTGTTTTCCATAAGGACTAGACCATTCTACATTTCCACCCACAGTGTTACAAGGGTTCATTTTTCTCCACACCCTTGCAAGCACGTGAACCAATGGTACTTCAATAAAATTAAAAACAAAAACAATTTAAATCTGGACAGATCATTTTTCTATTAATGAATTAAAGTTATTTGGCCAGAAAAAGAACAGTTCACATAAGTAGAAGTACACAGGAGTAAAACACTATTTTTATAAAGTTACCTATGAATAGTTATGCAGTCAAACAATGAACGATATTTCAAAATTGAAGCACGCAGTATTGAAACAAGTCTTTGGAGAAATACAACAATTTTAAACATGCAACTTAAATATCAGTAAATATAAAAGGCTATTAAGGTTTGCCTCATTAAACTTATACCTTGGAATTATCTTCATTTTGCTTCTGACATAAATTAGTAATTTTCTTGCAAAATCCTACACTGGTTCTTAGCAAACATGACATTTCTGGTAAGGTAAAATACCTTGTGTTACAGGAAGTAGAAACAGAAATGATGCTTTTTATTTTATCTGCATAAAGTAGTTTGAAAACCACTCAAACTACTCTCACTCCTGGGTAAAGGGAGGGCAGAGTAATAACTTGTACTATCAGTAGATGGCGGACCAGAAGAATGTGAACAACTACCCACAGAAAGCAAAGGTTATCTGAGAAGCTAGCTAGTAATCTTACCACATTCTCCAAAGGTGCTGCACCAAACACTTTAAAGACAGGGTTGGGTTTGGAGGGTGAGATACAGAGGACAATAGCTTGTTGTCCCACTCGAGTAGTATACTCATCCAACGTGGCTCGAAGCTTCCTGAATCAGAAAACAAGAGAATAAAAAATAGTTGAAAAGAGAAATTACAGTGACACAGACACAGTAGTTACTTTGACTTGAAGTGATTTATTCTAATTAGGTGTGTTTTCTTTTATCTGAAACGAGGAAAAAAAATAAAGACTATGAGGTTTTACGTCCTATTCTACATAAATATGTACCTACTTTTCTTTGTCTTAAAGACCAATGACAGCCCACTGACATAAAGAAAAATCAGGACACAATATTGAACATGGTGAATGTTGTCTTTCCTTTTTTTTTTTTTTTAAAGATTTTATTTATTTATACAAGAACTGGGGTACAGGTTAGAGGTGTGGGAGAGTGAGAGAATTCACCAGACACAGAATGGGGAGCAGAACAGGCAGACAGACTGAAGACACTGCTGAGGGGAGCAGCGGGCGAGGCAGGAAAGGTCTGCTGCGCCATGTGGGTTGATCCCTGGCTGGATGGGAGTCGAACCCGCACTGCAGAGGCTGAGGACAGCTTCACAGCGCAGCACTCAACCCAATGTGTCACTGCGGCGGCCCAATATCATCTTTCCTGATCTTACCAACACCAAAGGGGTCTTCTTTTATTGCTGCTTAGAACTGCTGAGAGGTCCCCTGACGGTTTTCTATCAGCTCCATGCTTAATGAAGGGGGCTCAAATCACCCACTTCTAATTTCTTTGTTGTACACATTATGTCTCACTGACATAATTTTATCCAAAAATACACTTAAAAATACCATAATTGGGGCCTCCCTGGTGGCGCTGGCGGTTGAGCTCTGAACTGTGAAGCTGTTCACAGTCTCTGCAGCGCAGGTTTGATCCCGGCCAGCCAGGGGGAAACCCACATGGCAAGGCAGACCTCTCCTGTTTCACCCACTGCTCCCCTCAGCAGTGTATTTCGTCAGTTTGCCTGTTCTGTTCCCCACTCTGTCTCTGGTGAATGCTCTCACCCTCCCTCACATTCGGCCTGTACCCCGGTTCTTGTATAAATAAATAAATCTTTAAAAAAAAATACCATAATTCCCAGATTTTCATTGTGATGCAAAAACAATAATTCTCAGACCTACACTTATTCTAAAAATGATGGTGTGAAAAGAACTTTTCCAAATATACCAATACTGTATGAAATAGAACATTGTCCTTTTCCTTTGAAATCATGGAAGATTATTTTAAAGTTCTAAATTCCAGGGCCTCCCTGGTGGAGCAAGGAGTTAAGACGCAACCTATGAAGCTATCCGCAGCTATTGAAGCATGAGTTCGATCCCTGGCCAGGGAGACACCCACATGGCGCAGCAGACCTCTCCTGACTCGCCCACTGCTCCCCTCATCAGTGTATTTCAGTCAATCTGCCTGTTCTGTTCCCCACTCTGTCCCTGGTGAATCCTCTCATCCCCCACACCTCTGGCCAGTACCCCAGTTCTTATATGCATAAGTAAATGGATTTTTAAAAAAATAAAAAAATAAAGTTCTAAATTCTGGAATTCTTTTGAGAACATAGTCTACCCTTTCAAGGGACTGGTGAGTTACATCAATTCAAATGAAGCAAAGGAGTATATCTAAAGTATAGTTTTTCATCTTTTGTTTAAAAAAAAGATTTAGTTTATTTATGCATACTAGTACTGGGGCATAGGCCAGCGGTGCAAGGGTTAAGAGGATTCATCAGAGACAGAGCGGGAGCAGAACAAGCAGATCTACTGAAATACACTACTGAGGGGAGGAGGTGAGACAGGAGAAGTCTACTGCACCATATGGGTTAGCTCCCTGGCTGGGATATAACTCATAGCTAGAGAGTGCTGAAACTTTAACCCCTGCTCCATCAGGGAGGCCCCCATTTTCTCATCTTTCCTCAAAAGCATGGAATACTGTATCTGTTCCCACTATAAAACAGATATTCCTTTAACAATACATCCTAGTTCTTCCTGCCTGTACCATCATTGAGGGAAACAAGTGCTCATCTAGTGGTATATAATCTGTTCGCTAAAAGCTAATGGTAAGTACTTTTTGGGTTTTTCTTCAGTTTCTTAACAATCTTGTAATGTTTTTAATTTAAATTGTGTTTTATAGCTTCTGTCACATATCATTAACATGTGCTGGCACTCTACTTGGATTTAACATTTCAATAAACAGAAAATTTGTATATAGTACTTAAAACACTACATGGAAAAACTTCTGGAAGATTTTTACCTAAGAAATTTCTTATCATATGTGAATGCACATTGTACAACCTGTTGAAATAATAAGCATTCCCTATACCACACCTGCATAAAATCTTTCTTTGCAACCTACAAACTCTTCAGAAGAGAGGCAAACAAATTGATGGTCTTCCTTGAAGGAATGGTCTATATTTACTATATCCAGTTCTTCTCCTCCCATTCTCTCTTGAAGACACTCCAGGCCTTTTATCTTTACAGCTCCTTTGAAAATGCTCAAGTTCAATCATGACTTCCATGTTGCTAAGTCTAATGGGCACACTGCATCTTATTCAACCTATGAGTAGCATTTGACAGGGCTTATCACACATCCTCCTGCTTGAAACAGTCTTGCATTTGGTTTTGTTACCATTCTCCTGGTGTTTATTCTCACTCACTTGTTGGTTCTTTGACTCCTGTGCTTATTCCTTTCATCTCACCAACCTCTAAAGGGCAGAGTGCTTCAGGCCTCAGTCTGCACTCACTCCCTAGGTGGTCTCCTCCAGTCTCATCGTTTTAAATACTACCTATATGCTTATATCAACAGCCAAGATCGCTCCTTTGAATTTTACACTTATATATCCAGGTGCTTATTCTGTATTTCTACTTAATAGTTAAGTGGCGATATCACAAATTTAACAAGTCCAAAATTAAAATCCTAGTTCTGCCCTATCCTCAATCCCATACCTGTTCCTCCTCCAGGATCATCTTCCTTCCAGTGATCACACCTTAAAATCACACCTTAAAATCACACCTCTTCACTTCTTTTATCTCTTACACCCCACATCCAATCCATCAATGAATCATCCTAAATTGACTTTTGAAATACATCCAGAACTAAACCACCTCTTACCACCTTTGCTGCTGCTTCTGCTACACTGATTGTAACACACTATCATTTCCGGCATAACCTCCTAATTATATTAGACCATAAGATCCTATGAAGTGGCTGCTACTTTGACTCCCATCTTCTCTCCCCAGCTGATGCTCCACCATGACTACCATTCTCCTTCCTGCTTCTGAAACCTTCGCTCACTAGTCCCTCTGCCTGAAATGTTCTTCCCCTAGACATCAATTTAGCTGCCCTTTTAACTTCAGGCCTTTGTTCAAAGGTTGCCTTATTAAAGAGAAATCCTAAGATCACCTTTTCAAAAAAGATTAAGTACTTGTTCCCCCATCCTCCTATTTTCCTCGTTCCATTTAATGCTTTTCTGACAATTTTTTTTTCCCCTCCAGCAGAATATAAGCACTTGGAATTTGTTTCAATTACTGTTACTTTTCCAAGGCCTAGAACAATGCATAGCACATATTAAGACATAAATTTTCTCTAAATATATTAATATAATATAGTATACACCTGTTAAATCACATTTTTAGTTTCATTTATTTAATTTTGTCATCAAGTAATATAAGTTGGTGTCGTTGGTGACTAAATAGCATATGTTCTAACTCTGTCACCTGCATGTGAATCGTTTGAGGACTAGCCAACAATAAGGGATTCCTCACCGAAGCAAACGCGTTTGCTGTCTCTTCCGGATAGACGGATTAGACTCAAACACGTGAGGCCGTTTCCGCTTCTTGCCTGTCGCCACAGCAGCAGCAGCCGCCATTCCCACAGGACCTGAAATAATGTATGTGTTGAGACTAGGCAGAGCGGGTCAACCATAAAAGACAGAAAACGATTAAAGTAAAAATATGGTAGCATCTCATTTTTTTTTGATATGTTGACAATAAATATAGAATCTTCCTGATATTAATGTACTTCGCTATTCTTCACTATGAACCATTATTTTAATTTACCAATAAAACTTACAGTGAATCTTTTAAAAAAGTGAATGATTTACATCTCCCTACCACACACCAGATTGAATTTTATACAATGCAAGGTTTTGTTTTGTTTTGTTTTGCCAGCATGCCCATATTGTTATGGCAATATTCTCAGAGGTGCTACATGAAGTTGCAGCACTGAAAAGAAGAACTTGGCAAAACAAAAGAAATACATCTCAAATATCATTTACATCCTTGTGGCTCTCTTTCTGTCACCCCAAGACACTACAACATTAAGAAAGTCAGAGATAAGCACTTATACTTAGAACCCAAACAATACCCACAAGAATATCACCTTAACTGGAAAACTTTTTACTGTATGTCTGAGAATTATGCCCAAAATGGAGATGCTGACCTTAAGTCAAGTTGATGAAAGCATCCTGGCTGGAAAGAAATGAAAACTCTAATGGGAAAATGCTAATAAAAGTTGATCTGGCTTGCCCTGAAACTAAACTGAAGGAGCTGCTGAATCCTGGATTCGTGGGATGTCAACATATCAAGGACACTTCCATCTCCCCCTTTTTAAACAGATGAATGACTTTTGCTCTTATTTGTAAAGTCTATAAAAGACTTAAATGAAAATTATGTTGAACTGCATAAGTAGCTCAATTAAAGTAAATCTCTGTGAAAATCTAGATGGGCTTCTCTACATGTTGTTTTAGTATTATCAACCTAATGTAAATAAACCTTTCTAAAGAACCCCAAAGCAAGTAAAAAACATAAATGAATGCTTTTTTACCTTCTTTCCCATCATAAGTTGGTAGAGAAAAACTTACTGACCCATTTTTCCATCACTTTGTTTTTTGAACACTATTTGAGATCTTCGTTAACAAATTTTTCAGTGCACAATACAATGTCATTAAATAGATACAATGTTGTACATTTATAATTTATTCATCTTACATAAACACAACTTTAAAAAGATTTTATTTATTTTTGAGTAAAAGAGCTGGGGTATAGGCCAGAGGTGCTGGGGGTGAAAGGATTCACCAGAGACAGTGGGGAACAGAGCAGGCAGATTTACAGAAATACACTTCTAAGGGGAGCAGTGGGAGAGACAGGAGAGGTTTCCTGCGCCGTATGTGGGTTAGCTCCCTGGCTGGGGTTCGATCAGGCCTAACTCAGGCCATCATGGTGACAGCACTAAGACTTAACCCCTAGGCCATAAGGGAGGCCCCACAGCAATTTAATAGCGAAAATTATAATCAACCTAAGTGTTCTACCAATATATGAGATATTCAGATGACTAGAATACCAAGCAATAGTTAAAATAAAAACATACAGCTACATTATCAACATAAATATTAGAAAAATCATGAATGAAATACACATGTTACAGGAAGATAGGGTCAGAGTGACACCATTCATATAAAATTTAAAACATGCAAAGCAATGTTAGATGCTGTTTACTGATAAATATTCATACAGTACAAAGATAAAAGAAATGGAAGAGAATGATAAAGACCATATTCAGAATAGCAGTTATCTCAGTGAAGGAAGTGAAGGGAATAGGTTTAGTAAAAGCAGTAACCCACTACACCCTTCCTTCTCCATTTACATTATTTTCCTCAGAACATTCAGTGCTTTCTGAAAAGATCTTACTGTACTATTTGTATTCTTTTCCCCACCACTGATCTATAAGCTCCTTCAGGAACAAGCTCTTGCCTGTCCTTTTTACCGTATCTATATACAGTAATATATAGTAGACAGTAATTCCTTAATAATTGTTAAATGAATAAATGGTAAATTACTTCTACCAGCTTGTCCTCAGTTTCCACATCAGTCACATGAAAGGGTTAGATTAAAGGTCTTTCCTAATCATAACATTATGACAAGGCAGTACAGTAATAAAGCACAACTGTGTCTCAAAAACATTTTCCTTCCTAGGAAAGAAGGTGACTTGGATTCACTATGTTAGGATGCCCTCTTCTGGGAAGTATAAACATTACAAAAATATTTTTTTACAAACATTTTATGTATTTTCCGTGCCACTAAGCCTTATTTTCAATTTCACCATTCCAGAAATAGACAATGGATAATTACTGACAGTAATAAGGTTATTCTTCATTGCATCTGTCTTTCTACCTCCCATATACACTAAATAGATGTCCTATTTTTTCCATTCCATATAACTCATTTCCTATCTAGTTTTTCCTAGATATCTTCCAAAATCAATTTTCCTTACACTCATCTAGGCATGGTTTGCATGGAGTTTTCTCACATAGTGCTAAATATACAATATAAATAACAAAAACAGTAATACAAAATAGAGCCCAGCTTTAAGTCATTCAGTGGCCCAGAAAATCTCAAGACCTTAAATTGGATTAAGCTGATCCAGGATTGTTAGGCTCTCTAGGCATCTGGCAGAAGCAAACAAAAATCCTCTGTAGAGGAGAATAATATTCTAGGCTCCAAATTATTTCAAAAATAATTTCCCAAACACCTGTAGTGTTCATTCAAATATAACCAATACACAAAGAGAAAATCCAACATGAACAAGAAACAGCACTAACTACATGTAACAGAAACAGTCTCTCAGGCACTCTGGAGAGTAAAATTACTGATAGATTATAAAATTATAATCCTTACTTTACCCAGGAAGATTACAATATTTTTCCCAACTACAATTAGAAACTGTAGTACTGTAAATACAGGAGGAAAAGGATCCTTCAGAAATTCTAAAAGTAGAAAAAAAAACTATTAACTATTACCAAAACTAGTATATCAATAAACAAACTTAAAAGCACCTTAGACACAGCTGAAGAAAAAAAATAAAGTCAAAGACAGTCAGAATTACATAGGAAGAAGCACAAAGAGACAAAAGGAATCCAGTACAGAACAGAGGGGAAGAGCCATAAAAGACTACATGAGGAAGACTAACATATTTAACTAGATTCATAGATGCAAGAGAAGGAACAGACTAGACACAAAATTGAAACATCTAGTGACTAAAATTTCCAAAATTGACTAAAGGCCTCAATCCACATATGCAAAATGTTCCAAAAATCATATACCAAATAAATGAGAAGGTCTATTGACAGATCCAGATATATCATAAAAACTACAGTTAATCTTAAGAGCAATTCAGGGAGGTGCCTGCACGGAAAATAACCTTCTAAGGAGTAGCTGTTAGAATGAATCAGTTAAACTCTCAAAAGCAAGGATGGAAACCAAAAGACAATGAAATAGTATACTCAACATGAGGAAGGAAACAACTGCAAAATTAGAATTCCATACCCAGCAAGAACATCCTTCAGGACTGAAGGTTAAATAAAATAGTGTCACAATGGAATACTACTCAGTGAGCAAAAAAGGATAAATTCATGCCATTTTGCAGCAAGATGGGAAGAACCGGAAGGGATTATCCAAGTGAAGTGAGGTAGAAGAAGAAAGATAAATACCTGATGGTTTCATTTATAGGTACAGAGAAACTAAACAAAGAGTCAGACAAAGACAGCTGACCCTTGAGAGGTGATCATATATTTGAGGCACCCAGGATGGGGACGGTTGGGAGGGGAGAAGAAACTGAGGGGGGAGGAGAGCATAATGGACTATGGTGGAGAACTATGGGTGCTTTGGTGGTGGGAAAACTACGGTGACCACACCTGAGGGGAGAAATCCTAAATTGTTAAAAAATAAACAAGAATGAAAAATAATGGCATGTCATTAATAAAATAAATTGCAAAAAATAAAAAAAGTGGCAATTAAAAAAATAAATTAAGAAAGAAATAAAAAGAAAACTGTATACTTGAAAGGTAACAAAGTAACCATTTGTAAGATGCAGTAATAAGTTAAATTAGGGAGATGTGGTGATTGAGAAATAGATAACAATGGACAAACATATCTTTTATTTGGAATGAAAATAATCTTGCCCAATTGTTGGCTTGAAAAAATAAAAATAAACAGTGTGAGACAAGCAAGCAAAAACCGAGACTTTGCTACTAGCAAACCCATACTGAAGAAAATGCAAAATGGTACCTTTGCACAAAAGAAAAATTCTCAGAGGCAAGTTGGATATAAAGAAAAAAAAAAGAAAAAAAAAAAAAACAAGCCCATTAATGGTATAAAATAAAGTAGGGTTTTAAATACACAAAGCATTAATACACAAGACAATAGTATACAGATCACAGGAATAAAATTCAAGTGTCCTAAAAAGCTTGTATTATACCAGAAAAGGATAAAGTATTACATAAGACTTTGGTATTAGTGAGGGATGGATATCATAATTTCTAGGGGTACCACTAATAAAATATATATATAACTTTGAAACTAACAAGAGAAAAATGAACAATTAAAAACTGTCAATCACTTCAATCACAAAGAAAAAAACCCACACAAGAGGTGGGACATAAGAGAACATATATAGTAAAAATGATAAAATTAAACCTAACATATTGGCAATTATATTTACTGTAAATGGATGAAATACTGTCGCTAAAAAGGCAAGATTTCAGAATGCATGAAAAAACAAAAGCCGTAAGTCATATCTAAAATAGTAAAGACTGGGCCTCCCCTGGTGGCGCAGCGGTTGAGCGATGGGCTACGAAGCTGCCCATAGCCTCTGCAGTGCTGGTTCGATCCCCGGCCACCAGCGAGGGTCCCACATGGCATGACAGACCTCTCCTGCCATGCCCGCTGCTCCCCTCAGCAGTGTATTTCAGTCAGCCTGCCTGTTCTGCTCCCCACTCTGGCTCTGGTGAATTCTCTCACCCTCCCGTGCTTCTGACTGCACCCAGTGCTTGTATAAATAAATAAATAAATCTTTAAAAAAAAAAAAAAAGTAAAGACCCTAGAATTTAAGTCTCAGCATAAGACAGGTACAGGCTATAGAGTAAAAGGTTTAAACATAATTAGGTGTGATATGAGGATAAACGTGAGAGTGTCTGCATCATAGCTTCTTCCAGCTATGCATGGTATTGGGGGTTAAAACAAAAAATTAAAAACTTTCAACACAAAAACATTACCTGCAGCAGCTAGATGAGCTGTCACCTCATCAGCTGCTGTGGAGTTGAGTATGTCTGAATCATCATAAGAGGTGTCCTCAGGAGAAGAAGGTGAGTCTTCATCAGCACTCAGCATACTGTGTTCGGTGTAAGTGGCCACATGGACCTGCTGCACTTGCTGGGCCACGGCATGGGCTTCTATGGTAGCCATGTGTTCAGTTTGGGTCACTCCGTGTTCCTCCATCAAGGTTTACTGCCAGAAAAAAAGGGCAAAGAACCAGATTTAGTGTGTAATATGACACTTTAAGATACTGTCCTCTACAGCAGAGCAACTTTGACAAGTGTTCAATTTTACTACATACCACACCACACCAAATCACAGGAAATGGGATACAACATTAAAACACGACAGAAAAATAACAGAATATTTTTTATGTGAAAACATTTTTGTTAATTTTATACCTCAAATTGCAAAGCAATAAAAACTCTTACTATTACATAAAATGATAAAAAGATATTTAAGCGATCACAGTGACTAGCATTTAATATTGTGGACATAAAACACTTAGCAAGGACGTGAAATACTGAACATTTCTTGGTATTTGAAAGACACAGGAATTTAGCATTTTCCCCCAAAAAAGCAATTATTTGAATGCAATTTTTCAAACTGGTTTTGCCACTTATAAAACCTGTTCTTTCACCATGAAATGATATGGTAATTTATAAAGTATTAAGACAAAGATTTGCTCCCCCTACTGTATTTATAATCTATCCCCCCTTCATCCCACCAACCAACAGAGATGTATGTTATTCTGGGAAAAAAATTTATATATATACACATGTTCATATTATACATATTATTACATAGCTTGTTTTTTTCATGTTAAACTATATATGAACACTTCGACATCTTGAAACACCGCCTTTCTAAATAGCTGCAGAATACTTCATTGTATGGATGTGCCATAGTTACATATCTAGCACATATATCAGCATCCAACTCTTTGCTATTATAAACATCAGTGTAATGAATAACCTTGTATATAAAACTTTCATATGGAATCCTTAAGTGAAGGAATCTGTATGAAAAAGAAATTACCAAATAATCCAGCAATTCCACTTCTGGGTATACAGACGTGAAAACAGGGTCTCAAATGGCTATTTGTACATTCACAGTCATAGCATTATTCACAATAGCCAAAAGGTAGGGGCAACCCAATTATCCATTAACAGAATGGGTAAACAAAATATGCATATCCTACAATGGAATATTATTTTAGCCTTTTTAAAAAAGATTTATTTTATTTATTTATGCATATAAGAGCTGGGGTGTAGGCCAGAGGTGTGGGAGGGTGAGAGGATTCACCAGAGACAGAAGGACTGACTGAAATACACTGCTGATGGGAGCAGCGGGTGAGTCAGGAGAGGTCTGCTGCACCTTTAGCCTTTACAAAAGGAATACAGGGCCTCCCTGGTGGCACAGAGGTTAAAGTCTCAGCACTATCAAACTATCTCCAGCCATGGCAGGAATTCAATCCTGGCCAGGGAGCTAACCTACATAGTGCAGCAGACCTCTCCTGTCTTGCCCGCTGTTCCCCTCAGCAGGGAATTTCAGTAGATCAGCCTGTCCTGCTTCCCACTCTGTCTCTGGTGAATCCTCTCAACCCCCTGCCCCTGCACCTCTGGCCTACACCCCAGTTCTTATATGCATAAATAAATAAAATCTTTTTTTTTTTTAAAGGAATACAAACTAGAAAAACCAAAAGTTTTCCTCAAGTTGATTTTTAAAATCTACAAAAAACCTGCACCTAACATTATACTTGATGGTAAGAAACTACTATAAAGAGAATGGGTAGACAGCTACAAACTGGGAGAAAACATTTGCAAAAGACATTTGTTAAGTAACTGTCTTCCAAAATACAAAGAATTCTTAAAATTTAACAATATGAAAATGAACTACCTAATTAAAAGATGGCAAAAGACTAACGGACATATCACCATAGATATACACAAAAAGATGCTCAACATCATATGTCATCAGGGAACTGCAAATTAAAGCAATGAAATAAACAAAAAGAAGCAATAGTTTTTAAAACTGAGATAACACTATACACCTATTAGAATGGCTAAAATCCAAAACACCAATACCACCAAATGCTGGCAGGAATGTGGAACTAGAACTCTCATTTTTTGCTGGAAGAAATACAAAATTGTATAACCATTTTGAAAGACAGTTAAACAGTTTCACAGAAAACTAAATGTACTTTTGCAACACTATCTAGTATTATACTCCTTGATATTTACCCCAAGGAACTGAAAACATATGTCCACAAAATAACTTCCACACAAATCTTTATATCAACTTTATTTATAATTGCTAAAACTTGGAAACAACTAAGACATCCCTGAGTAGGTGAATGGGTAAATAAACTCTGGAATACACAGGCAATGGAGCAGTGTTCAGCATTACAAAGAAGTGAGCTATCAAATCATGGTAAAACTTGGAGGAAGCTTAAGTGCGTATTGCTAAGTGAAAAATCAACCTGAAAAGGCTACTATGGGCAGTAAAAGTAGCAGTGGTTGCCAGGGGTTAGGGCAGAGGAAGGGATAAACGCGTAAAGCACAGAGGATTTTGTAGGGCAGTGAAATTACTGTACACGACACTCTAATGGTAGGTACATGTCATGTACAACCCGATACACGAATGCACAACACAAAGAGCTAACCGTAATTATTTTGTCTTTGGGTGGTAATGATGTGTCACTGTAGGCTTACCCATTGTAACAAATGCACCATTCTGATAGGGATTTGGAAGTGGAGGAGGCTGTACCTGTGTGGAGAAAGGGGGCACATGGGAAAACTGTACCTTACACTCAATTTTATTTGTCAATTATATATTAATATAGGTGGGATTTGGGGGAAGGTTAAAAAATAAACTCTGACATGTGGTACAACCTGGATGAAACTTGAGGACATTCTGCTAAGTAAAATAAGTCAGTCACAAAGGACAAATATTGTATGAATCCACTTACATGAAGTACCTGGAACAGTCAAACACATAGAAACAGAAAGTAGAATGATGGATGCCAGGTGCTGGGTAGAGAGAAACTAGAGAGATGTCTCACAGGTAGAGATCAATTTTTGCAAAATTAAGATTTCTGGAAATTGTTAAATAAAATGTGAAAGTACTTAACGCTATGTCCACTAAAAATGGTTAAGATGGTAAATTTTATGTTATATATTTCCCCATAAGTTAAAATCATCCTTGATATAACTGTAACTTCTGTACAAAGATAAATGACCAGAGCATAATGATAAAACTAGCCCTCGTTATCTTAAAAGAAAATTTTATATTATTTGTGTTTTTCTTAGACTAAATTTTTTTTAAAAGATTTATTTATTTATGCATACAAGAGCTGGGGTATAGGCCAGAGATGTGGGGGGTGACAGGATTCACCAGAGACAGAGTGGGGAACAGAACAGGCAGATTGAAATACACTGCTGAGGGGAGCAGTGGGCGAGACAGGAGAGGTCTGCTGGGCCATGTGGGTAGCTCCCTGGCTGGCTGGGGATCGAACTCGTGCTGCAGAGGCTGCAGCTTGCTTCATAGTGCGGCGCTTAGTCCCTTGTGTCACCCTGAAGGCCCTAGAATAAATCTTTTTTTTTTTAAAAAAAGATTTATTTATTTATTCATACAAGCACTGGGCACAGTCAGAAGTGCGGGAGGGTGAGAGAATTCACCAGAGCCAGAGCGGGGAGCAGAACAGGCAGAAGGACCGAAGCACACTGCTGAGGGGAGCAGCGGGCGGCAGGAGAGGTCTGATGCCTTGTGGGACCCTCCTCCAGTGGCCGGGGAGCAACTGGGGATCAAACCGGCACTGCAGAGGCTGCAGGCAGCTTCGCAACCCAGCAGTCAACCACTGCGCCACCAGGGAGGCCCAAGGATACACTTTTTTTTAAAGCTTTATTTATTTATGCATACAAGAACTGGGGTACAGGCCAGAGGCACAGGGGGTGGGAGGATCCACCAGAGACAGAGTGGGGAACAGAACAGGCAGATCAACTGAAATACACTGCTGAGAGGAGCAGCGGGTGGGACAGGAGAGGTCTGCTCCCTGGCTGGGGATCGAACTCGTGCAGCTGTGGCTGCAGATTGCTTCACAGGTTGTGTCTCAACCCCTTGCACCACTAGGGAGGCCCAAGTATACACATTTTAAATTGTGATGCATTTTTAAAACCTGAGTGCTTAACCTGTGCACTAACATAATCTCTTTTTGTACAACCTCCCCTAGTCTAAACACACATTTGAAATTTGGCTATCATGTAATAGTAAACAGCTTTGCATATCTGGAGTTGACCCCATTCAAAAAAAAAAAAAAAAAGGGTAGTCATACATACATAGAATTGTGACCTTTATGATTACAAGTTAAAAGAAAATAATTATCTATTCATACAAAATTCTCCTGTCATTTTCCTTCTATTCAGTCATAAAACTCTTCCTTCTTTGGGGTCTTCTAAAAATCCTTTCTTCCTCTCAGTAGTTGCATTTTTAAGCCTAATCGGAAACTTCAGGTCAACTGTTTCCATGTAAATGACCAATTTTTACTTTTCTGAGGGTCTTGATTTTTACATTCTGTGCTGCTTCCAATTTTTTTTTGCTCTAACTTTTAATTATGTCTTTCCACTCATACCATCATACATATCATGACCTCGTTCTAGCCAGTGATTCTTAAATTTGGGACTCTTCAATTACCTCAAGAAATGTTCTGTATTTCAAAATAAAATTCACTTTAATTACAAAATAAAACCACCACAGCATGCCACAAATCCAAAGAATTAGAGATCACTAAGTGTCATTTGAGACCCTTTTTATATTTTCTTTTCTGCTGGAAGTCACCTCCCCAGCCCTGGATATCTGCTCAGCAAAGACCCTCATACTCATACCCTCTTTTCTTCAAATGGAACTTTTAAAGAGACATCTGGTAAAATAATATGTATCCAATAGCAAAAAGGATAAATAAAACATGATAAAATGTTAACATCTGGGTAATAAGAATTCCTTATACTATTTTTCAAAAACTTTTCTAAAAGTCTGAAATTATTTGAAAATAAAAATACTTTTTTAAAGAAAGGTACCTAACACGGTTTCGTTTATATCCTATGTTTGGTACGTTTCAGGAACTCAAAGGACTAAATACGTTAGATTTGTACATATCTAAAATGCAATTTAACATACTATTTAAGTCATACAAA